CGGGGGTGTATGTTGTATGCGCCTGAGGATGAATTCTTACGCAAAGTAAGTAGTTTTGCTTCAACTTTCTGACTGTCAAAAGCCATGTTATCCCGTGACGGATACGGTATACAGGGTAGTTTGCTTGGTATCTGTAATGCTTCGTGTTTCGCTGCAGTAAACACCTGAGTGAACTGTTTTTTGAGGAACTCTGCTGCTTCTAGAGTAGTGGTTGAAACATGTCCAGACGATCTCAATGCTGATATTTCGCATTTCACCTTCCTTGTAGAACTGATATGATTGTAAAGCAATTTTGGATCAGAAATGAATTTTTGAGCCAGGGTTTCTTAGTACATCAATTTGTCCTCTCGTACCAACTTGGTACACTGATTTTGCAGTAAGGAATAATTATTCCAAGTTTCGATAGATGGACATCTCGACTCCCACCAGGAAAAGTTCCTTTGCTCTATCCATTTCTTTGTTCGGCTGCGAAGGAATGAATCACGAGTTTTAGATTTAGCACAAGTTTTTATACTTGTTGCAGCCGTTACAGATTCGGTAAGATAATCAGTGAAGCTCTTTCATGTCACCAAAGGATCGTCGTCATCATCTGGGAGGATCCATTGCTTAAGTATTGCCAGGTTTTACAGCTATTTATAATCTATGATGGCACGAGTACTGCTCTTTCCGTTTTCTTGAGTAGAGGCGTAGCCTATATAATCAAACATCAATAAGGCATGATCACTACGACCTAGTGGAGACGTGACATTGACAGATTTTATCAACAGCTCCTCGTTAGTCAGAACTAAATCCAGTGTTGATGGTTCGTGACCTGCTCCAAATCTGGTGGGTTCTGTTACGTGGTTGTACAATGGGTGCAAGCCAATCAACTGAGATAGTCTCTCGAATGGATGGCGGGAAGTCCTCGTTCTTATGAGATTGGAGGAGTTCAAGTCAGGGCATGGGTGAACTTTAGTGATAACGCATTCCTCGTGGTTTGCAACAAAATCTCGTTGGTTGAGTCTGAAGATGCGGGAGGTCGGCACACAACACCGATTAGACACCTATCATTTTGGTGTCTTACTGAACACCGTAACGAATCGGGGGCTGCGTCGGGAGTGTCAAGCTGTTTACACTGTAAATTGTTTCAATGATAAAGCAGCACTCCACCGCCTCTTGTAGGACGATTACGTCCGAGCAGCGACATTCCAGATAGAAGCAATTCCGAGTCGAGGATGTCGGTGGTCAGCCAGGTTTCAGTAACGGCAACAATGTCAAATCGATTAGTTTTCCAACGCAGTTCCATCTCGGAGAATTTGCCAAGGTAACCTCGTGAATTGGTATAAAAACATGAAAGACATCTTCGTCAAAGAAATCTATCTGGGTATGTGGTGTTGTTTCTGCCGACCAACTTGGGGTCGGCTAACAATGTTTTTTTGTAGAATTGGCTTCGTCGGTGCTGCTTGGTGAACGTGGAGTGGTTCATTGCGGGCACGAACGGCTGGGTCAGATACACGATATCGTTGGCTTTACCGGCGACCCGTGAGTCAGAGAGCGAACTGCATCAAAACTAATCCGTAATCAGACTCAACGCAGGTGATCCAACAGGACTTTTAGTTTTGTACTGAGTCACACCAACGGTAGCTTACCGCTATGTGGTCAATTTGAGTTAGCGCACCAGTTGAATGGGAGCGACACGCTGCTGTCCGTTGAGAGCTGTATCAAAAGTTGTTACTGGATAGGAGTGATGGTGGTGGCAGAACTGAAGTGGTCGCTAGCCTATATCTATTCCCTGGAGATGCAACGCAAAACGACCGCCTCTGTAAGCCTTAGAATGGTCGTGGGTGATTGCGGCTAGTCATTACTCCCTTGCATCCCGCTAAATGCTGTCATACGGCCCAGCGTATCAAACAGCTTCTGCTGAGGAAGCCTTACTCACTTTCTCCGCACGGTGGACATGTTTTCCAACAGAAGTGAGAGACTGAAAATCCAACATCCGGATTGGTCATCCAGTGGCACTTCACTTAAGGGGGTTGGTTAAACACCCTGCTGTTAAACCAACAAATAAGAGGCTTAAGAAATGCACACATCCATACCTTCCTGGTTGTGACAGTGGTCACTGGCTTGATTGTCCATAGAGGTGTATTCGGAACCTTGGATGCTTGACCTCGTCCGGAGGGCGTATGTTTCGCTGGGCGGAACACCGGTCCGCAACAGATTGCGATTTTCCCACAACACCCTGCTGCCTTGCAGGTCAGATTTGGCTTGTCGAAGGCTCCGGATGTGAAGTCCTCGAGAAAATTCACCTGTTTTGGTTTGTGCAACCTTGTAGTACCACACCCTCCAGAAAAGTATGGAATATTTTCGTTTTATTTTTTAGTCACAGTCTGGATTACCGACTGCGAACAAATATATAAGTACAATAGGCAAGCTTCGGATGCGCTCACTTTTCCAAACTGCGCATTAAAATCACTTGCCACTAAAACCATATCGGAGCCCGGGTAAGTACGTCGTAGAGATCGTCTTCTTATTCATCTGAACCGTATTCGGTCGGTACAGACAACCTAATTTTACTGACCTTCCACAAGTTCGTTTATCCCTGGAGCCGCATCGCACGTAAACAACATTTGATGGGGATACGATCAATAACAGGGATTTCGGTTTTGGAAGAGTATAATACCTACTCCGCGCTGACCTACTGAAACGCCATCGTCATCCTCATTTGGAGTCTTCAATAGGCAGTAAACATCGGGCCATCAGGATACCGTTGTGTGCACCAGACAGGATTGCTGACACGTTTGTCTAAGTCTTCGCATTGAAGTGATTGACGAGGCTCTAGAATGTGCCACTTTTTTGTGGTATATCACGTACCAAGCTGTTCGCAAGACTTTTGAGTGTCGGACAAGTTGTTCTAGGGAAAATTACCGGTCGGAAGGAGCGAGAAAGGGGATATATATCACAAAGCATTAAACAAATACGTCTGAGCAGTAGCCTACTTATAAATATCCAGCTCGCTGGATACAATGGACAGTAAGACCCGAAGTTTCCGGCGCCACCACTGATGCAGTAGGGAATGCTTTTTAATCTGAGTTCACCAGAGCTAGGGTGTCCAACTACTAAGCAAAAGATGATGATCAACAAAAGACCTTCCTCCCTACAAGAATCTGACCTCTAAGCACCGGGTTAAGCGAAGTGGAGACCCATCTAATAGGACCAATCACTCCTCCACCATTTCACCAACTTGAGTCGAACCCGCAACCTGGAGGACGAGGAAACTGAACTTTCTCTAACCGTTCAGCAATGATAAGATCTTCTTGCTTGGCATATGCTAAGCTCGTACCATAGAGATGCACAAGTCACTACACCGTGAAAAATACTTGGATCTAAGCCACCTAAAAACTAAGACCAAAGTACATTCAGGTAGTAATATGCATAATTAAATGTTTTTACTTCCTTTTATTTATTGAGTACAGAAATGTACACTTAAACAGAAAAGTGTTAGAAATTTGATTTGCATGTAAAATACTTGGCTGGTCTATAGAATATGGATTACGCCGTGGGAAATATAAATTGCAATTAAACTGACCTTCTTTACCGACATCTTAAAACAAAACATCAGAGTAGTAGCAAGTTTATAAGATGACTCTATTTTTGTAGTCAGAATATCTGGTTAGATAAAGATCCCTTTGTTTGTTCGCTCAATCCCCTAGCAACCCGATGAGCCACCGGTGGGCCCTGATAAATCATACTGGTGTACAACTGGATAAGAGATGCACCCGCAGCGAGCTTCTCGGCGGCATCTGTTGCATTCGAAATACCTCCAACTCCAATCAGCGGTAGTTGCCCTTTCGTCAGAGCCGCAACTTTAGCCAAGCAAGTGGTCGAACGGTCGCGCAACGGTGCACCGCTCAAGCCGCCCCAAACGGGTGCACTGTCAGGAGTTTGATCATGAATGGGGGCCGCACCGCAAGCTACTGCTTGATCGTGGGTGGCTAGCATTGTGTTAGAAACCACGAGACCATCCACACGGGTCTGGAAGAAAAGACAAAGAATTAGTGACACGACAGAATCATTCGCGCAAAGTAGTCAGCTAAAATCAGTTTGGGATGGTGGTCGTGTCCTAACAATAAGGATAATCAAACCGGATTTCATTCGAAAAAACTGAGCCTGTGAGCGAAAGCCTAGATGAAGGTATCTGTTTGCAGATGACACAGTGGTGAGTGTTACCGCAGGATCCGCCACAATGGGTTAAACATACAACACAGTCTTTTACAAATTCAAGGCTTGAAAGCATACTGGAAAAAAAAACAAAGAATGAGAACGATGGGAACAATGGGCATCGTACAAACTTACATACTGCACTGTTTTCCCGCAGAGTCCAAATAAGAGTCAACAGAGCTATGTGATATTCGGTTCTATTGAAGTTGTTAACAAAATAGCTACTTGTTCATTACTAGAGCAAAAAAAACGTGAAGCAGTTATCAAAATTCTTATTCTACATCAAAGTTGCTTCGTAGCAGGAACAGTGAAGTGGAGAAAAAACAAATATGAAGTTGATTTCTAAAAAAATATCACTTGGTACGTACATATTTCCTAAAAGTACTAAGGCAGTATCGGTGAACATGCAATATTTTGCTGCTCGCAACGCATGAATTTGTCACAGGTAGTATTGCTAATGTGCTATCCGTAAAAAGTATTCTGTTACGCTTGTAAACCATCCGCGTGAACCACGCACTTTAACGTTCAGTCTCAAAATTCGAAAAACGGGGCCGGAACATAATGGCAAAGGAAGACGCTGAAAAGCTCCAAATTGAGATAAGTCGTCAACCATGATTCCGTTTTCCCATGACGGACTGTTTTGTCAATCTTGTTTAGCAAGAAAAGAAGATATCCACGAAACAATGCAACTTTTAAGGAACAGTCAACGTAGAATGATTTTATTCATGTTATTTGCTATAGGCTATAGCGTTCTAGAGGAGGGATCGTTTTGGATGGGCGGAAAGAAAACGACCAAACATACTGTGGAGGTTACAGCCATTCTGAGAATACATACCGTAGCATAGGATTGCGATTACACAATTTGCGTAAGTATGCTTTGACTACGTAGCTTCGGTAACATTGTCGTTTTATTTTAAAGAACTTGATCATCGCCGTGTTTTCAGTATACTGGTATAATTTTTTACCTCATTACTCATTAACTACAGGTTTCATATAAACTGTTACTGTTTCATTCAATGGTTGACAAAATGGAAAAGAGTATTTGGAACACGAAATGTCGTTATTAGGAAACGTGATCAATGAATCCAAAAGGGAGCTCAATCAATGGAGTTTTAGTTGTGTATTGGGTAAAAACAATATCTATAACCTTGCAGCCCCTCAAAGTTGAACAATTTGAGCAGTTACTCTTCGAAGTTCATGAGATTATCACGAGTTGTAAAATATTATACATCTCTGCATTTGACATTTCTGTGAATCACAACACTACATCTTGATCTATGAGCTGTGTTCTCTACGAACGAGCTGGAGCAACATTTGGAACGAAACCTTGATTGGAGAAAATTTTACAGCATTTATTCTACAGATAGAGATTTCACTTCGCTAACAACTCTTTCCCATGAAAAACGAAGAGAGAGGTTCAAAGGGTAATTGACAATGATAACATTGTAGGGAGAAGAGTAAATAAATTAGAAGAGCGACTCACTTCTAACTGGAAATGATCTCTTCAAAATAGGAGGCAGTGTCATTCCACTGGAATCCCATCCTGTGGATTCATAAAGCCTAGTTCGACTTGGTTTCTAAGTGGTGGCATTTTCCTATTTCAACCTTTGGAAGTGCAGGCATGAAAAAAGAATGAAATTTGTTTGCAAACATCGATGATGCACCCGGAGGATAAACGGTTATGACAGCTTGATGATCTACCCAGGAAATCATTCCTTCGCCTCCGGGACATTTTATTATAGCTTTCCCAATTCAAATTATGGAATAAAAAGACCGTA